TGTAACCACAGAAACAAACGAGGAGATAATCAGTAACTAAGGAAACCGGAACTAAACAGGGGAGCTTTTCCCAAAAGCATCGTTGGCCAACTATAATCGCAGTTTCCATTGAACTCTATTGGTAATGACAGAATTTAAGACCATAGTTGGCTTTGGGAAACGCACCCCAGAGCAGGACAACAGGAACTTGTTTATAATCCAGCTGTGGATGGGGTGTCTTTGGAGGTGGAGCTGATGATGGGCAGGGACCAGGAGGAGCAGGTAGAGGGAGATACCATTGCTGAATCGATGGTGGGAGCAGATTGAGAACCCTAAATGCCCTGCACACATACTTCCCACTTATCTTTCTTTTTTTCCTTTTTGAAGGTGGTACAATGCCGTTCTGGCCTAATTTAACCTTTGGCAACAGCCCAAACTGTAAAGTCACTCTTTGGCAAAGTATCTGCTACTACTAATAAGTGTAACCTGACCTATTTTGTGGAATGATGGAATTATAAACCGAATGTGTATTTTGTTTGTTCTTTTTTTTTTCTTTTCTACAAAATACATACTATCTCATTCAAATACTGAGCGTTTCATGGATGAAATCCTTTTGTGACATGCTGGGTGGATTTTGTTCATGAAAGGTGTTTTCTGTTGTACACAAAATGAGATTCACTATTGTGGATGAAATTGAAGTAACTTCAGTTAGTTCTGGGTCTAGAATTTTGTGCACTGACTTTACTGTCCATTGCCATTCAGTGGCGTGCATAGACCCCTGCCCTAGCGGTCCCCCTCGGTCGAAATCGTATTCCAGGGGGCACTGCAATAACACAGAAAGGGCACTTTACTATTAGCGATTAAAGGGGCAGGGGCTCTAAAAAAGTAACCCAGGCAACTTAAATAAATCCATGGTTTCAAGTTAAAAATTCTAATTTATTAACTTAATTAAACATTTTAAGTTTCAAAAAGTATTATTGTTGAGTGCTGTTAATGTAAAACTGATGATCATTACATTAACTTAATATTGTGTGTAATTTAAACTCAAATTTCTGTGTTAATTTATTTTTGTTAAAAAATTAATTTGTAGTAACTTAATGAAATTGTCTTGATAACTTTGGAAATTGGGCAGTTGATTTCCAGTTACCAGCATGCTTTTCAAAGGACTGGATAAGGAGAATAAAGTGTTGAAATTAAGTGTTATTTTATTTGTTTTTAGTGAAAGGAAATACCTGCTCTTATGTTTGACATTTAAAAGAGTTTCTGATGTTGAAGATTTTACCATTGTGCCAAAGAGTAAAAAGTGTATGAAGGTAAACACTACATTGACTCTAAAAGCAAGGACTGAGCTAATGCCAGTGGCAAGTAATATTACTTGCCACTAATTACTTGTTCACATGTTAAACATTTAGAATGTGCTATAATAGCAGTGTATCTAACTCAAATAGATAAGATTAACTGGTTCCAGGACTACAACTCAAGTAGTTGGAGCAACTTATTTCTTTTGAGTAATCAACTTTAAAAATGTGTGTTCATGCTACAAATTAAGTCCCTTTAAGTCAATGTAGTTCGATGGTTTAATGTAATTTCAATAGAATTTGTCAAAACTCAAAAACATTTATGCAAACTGTTTTTAAGAGTGCAATGTGCCATCCTGAAACATTGTCACCAAAAGATTTGGTGCAATTCTGGCAACAACAGCTGGTGATTATTAACCATACATTTATCAGGATATTTGTAAGGTGTTCAGATGTGCTTAACTACTTTTTGTCTTCAATATAACTCAATCTCTCACATTTACACCATTATGTTATACTAAGAGTGAGGCGCAGAGGAAGGTCTCAGATCAGCCTCCCCTGATGCTTTACAGGCACTGGACAATAAGAGAGCGATCAATTTGGAAGACACAGCAGGTTAGGGGTCCAGGCAATTGAGAGAAAACATTGATAACACATAAAGCTTGAGGACCTGCATGTGTTCCACCTTCACTCCGCATATAATATAACAGAAGCCAGAGCCGTTTTAAAGATCACACTGGGTTTGACAGCAGGGAACAGGTCCCTGAACTCAGTCTCACATCCATCACAGGGCATCATTGCTACAGAAGAGCCAGCCATCAAAAAGAGAGAAGCACCAAGTTCACCTTGCCACCAGGGATCCAGCAGACATCACACAGAGAAAACAGGTAAACCAGGGCCATGAAACATCAGTTCTCATCAAGATCTCATCAGTCTATGATGTGGATCATAATGACTGAATGCTTTAAATTCCAGTACAATAAAACAAACTCTTGCTATGCTTACTGCTAATGAATCTTGTCAAATAATAATTTATTATTTAGAGTTTTACCAGGAACTACACTGTTCAAAAGTGTTGGCGTGTAAGGCCCTGTTCACACCTGGTATTAAAGGTATTGTAGGTAGAATTTTTTTTAAAAACTTTTTGCCAAATTTGTTTAAACTTTCTATATATATCAATGCATAATTAAAATGTAAGTACTCTGGAAAAGAGAGTATAAAAATCGAGTGTCTGTAGTCCTCTCAGGGCTGTAATAAACACAGCTACTTATCTCCATTCACTTCCACCCCCTCCATTCTGGGCTCCTTCCAAAACCACGCCCCCAAAACACATGAACGTGCGATGCCGACAGCTCACAGCTGGAGGACGCGCTTACTAGCGCCGAGCGGAGTGGAGCAGTGCATGTAGTGACATCATGTCAGACTCACATGTAATAAAATACCTAACTTTATCATTATGAATATAAACAACTAACATGGCTGTTAGTACTCACTATCAAGCTAGCATATCGATACTGTTAAAGTTTAAAATATATTGAGTTTGATTCGTTAACGAGCTAGTAACATAAAGCAAAGCTAAAAACAGGTTGCATTGATACACGTTTTCCCATTACAATCAGTTACACTGTGATGAAGGTGAATTTTGTGTAAGATTCATAACATATACGCCGTGTTTTGCATGTAATTGTGTCTCTTACTAGTCTCTTACCCTCCTCGAGTCAAACGAGTGCGCGCATGTGGGCAGCGCATGTAGCAGCGGGGGTGTTGCCATGGTTGCGAGAGAGTGACAGTCGCCTAAGCCAATCCTTTGTTTCGTCCCGGAAGGAAATAATGAGCTGTGTTTAGTGCAGATTAAACGGTCTAGAGTCACTCGATTTTTATACTCTTTTTATCAGAGTACTTACATTTTAATTATGCATTGATATATATAGAAAGTTTAAACAAATTTGGGAAAAAGTTTTTTAGACCAAAAACGACCTACCCAACCTTTAAGATGAGTTCTTGGTGGATCGGATCACAAGTGGATGATGACAGGTGAAAACTGGGTCTAAAATATTTTGAGCTTGTCCACTTTCGACCACATCCAGAGGTAGTCAAAAACACATTCGACCGGATTGCTTTTGTAATGTAAACGCTCATGTGGTCGAATGAAACCTACTCTCCGCCTACTGACCTAACGTGTAAACATTATAGGAAGTGCGCTAGCCAGATAGGATTTAAACGTTATCGACTCAAGACCCAAGTTTGGTTTAAAGACGAAAAACGTACCAATGTTCTCTCACCATTCCTGAATTCTAACACACACTCACCGCGTTCGGCATCGTCTTGCAGGTGTCAGATGTCTCAGATGTACAGTATCTTCTGTGACACAGACTACTGGTTCAATAAATGCTTTAACAATTCATTCTCAATGCAAACGTGAAGTCGTGATCAGAATGCTCATTATTTTTGTCAAGATCCTACACACTGTATATTGTACTTTGGATGTGCATGTGCATGCTTCATATGATCTACAGTATGTCACTGCATGTTGATGTCGGGCAAATCGGAGAAGTTCCACAAAGTCTTTTGTTTTAGTGCATAAACCCTTGTTTTAGAACAACAAGTCAGTAGGTGGTCTTTTTGCTTTGCCCAGGATGCATCAGGGTAGATTAACGTTTACTAGATATACTAATTCCAATGCGGTTACATACATTTTTTACTACCTCTGAATGTGGTTTGATTGATCTGTTCACAAAATGTTTAGAAAGTGTTTAGAAAGTTAGAACAATATGTTTAGCATTCATAAATGGTGTTACGATCCTCGGTATTTGTTTTGTGTGGGTTGTTGTTTTGTATATGTGTGCAGGGATTGGCTGCCGTTGGAGGAGCCTGATTGGTGGATCTACTGATGCGCCGCTTTAAAAGGGCGGTGCTAATCGGAGATATCGAGCTCATTCTGGCGTTGGCCTGGTGGCGTGAATAGCTCTGGATTCCTCCTCCCGTCGGCAGATCCCAAACCCTTCAGTTGATTATGTTTGTTTGTGATGGCTTAATTCAGTTCTGTTCTATGTTTTAGGAGCGTAGGGGTGTCCTGCCCTTTATTTTTGACTTTGTTTGTGACTTTATTTATAAGGAGTTAGGGAAGTTTCTTTGTAATTTTCTTTATTCCCCGATTAGGTAATTTATAAATGTTTGTTTAAAAGTTCTATTTTGTTTATTATTTTGGCCTTGGGGCACCCTGAAGCCATTGCTCCTTAATTCAATTACTTTTGCCACCTTAAATAAATGATACTTTTGTGGAACTTAGAGTTGTGTCTTTGGTGATCTGTCGGCTGGGGTTTCCTTTTTACCAACAACAAAAGTTCACGTCAAGCCCGTCCTTATCACACGGGTCATAACAATGGTTACTTTATCTCAGAAGATCAAGGAACATTTTTACCATAAGCTGCAGAGAAAGTGCTTTGTAATTCCATAAATGCAAACCCTCAGTTCATGGTTAATTTAAGTCATCATTAACAAGCCATTTTTATACGATATGGATCATGTGCCTTCCGCAGTGCTGCTCGCTATATTAACTCTGACTACATTCAGAGACCATGCTTTAGCTGCTCTAAGGTAAAATGTGTCTACAGTTCGCAAATCCACTAAAACCACCTCAAATGATGTGGAAAAGACTAACCAAGCATCATTGATGGAGTTTTTAGGTTTTTAGGAAGAGAAATGACTTAAACAGAGACTCACAAGCAATGTGAAGACTAGCTTCTCTGCTGAGAATGGTCCCGAAAGAGTTGGAGGCCAGACATTGGTAAATACCAGCATCCTCTTCCTTATTGAGCTGGCTGATTCGAAGGTTTCCTCCTGAGATGCTGTATCGAGAGCCAGGTTGAGGGGAAATGAAGCTGTCGTTCATTTTCCACCTATAAAACACAGGGGGAAGTTAGCAGAGAGTAAATGGAGAGTTTGGAGTATAGCTACTTGAAAATATGTTCCTCCTTATTCGAAGTAAAACATAGTGAGATATATTTGTTTGATATATTTAAAATATATATATATGGTACTTTACACAAACATAATCCAACATAGATCCTGAACCTTTTAAAAATGCTGAGTGAAAGGTAATATTGACTGTCCACCTCAAGCAGTGTTGTTATTTTTAGCTAAAACTAATACAATTATTGTTTATTGAAATAAAGCTGAAATAAACTAAAAAAATATTAAATGAAAACTAGAAGTATTTGCTTGAGAACTACTGAAATGAAATACATTTAAGAAGTGCTAAAATGACGAAAATTGAAATTAAAATAAAATAAAGGTCAACAGAAATTTAAAAACAATAAAACTAATAAAAATGACAAAATCACATAACATAATTACTAAAACTTAAACTAAAATTAAATTGAAGATTGAAAATAAGAACATAAAAGCTAATCCAAAATTTTAATAAAAATAACACCGACCTTTCAAGTCAAACTAGATATATGAGCCGATTTATTTTTTAGTCATGTTATTTTAAGTTTATTCAAGATGTTTGCAAGTTTTGAAACCCCAATTTTAAAACGCATAGTTTTTGATTTGTATGATTTTATCATTTTACAGAAAGAATTAAATAACTTTAAATAATAATCCTTTAATACTTTTAACATTTATTAATATGTTTTCATTATCAACATGAATCAAACATGAATAAAAAAGGAAAGAAAATTGAATTCATTTTGATCTATTTTAAAAAAAAGAAAGAAAAAGAAGTGCTCAGCATTCATGAACACAAAGTGACAAAAACACAAACAACAGCAAAGGCTGTTAAGTAGAAAGACGTGACTTTTACAACAGATCGATGGCCCAGTCCAGTCACACAGTAAGACATCAGAAACCACAAAACCCAAGAGACGCACATGAGTTCAGATCCACTGCAGCAAAAGCCTCATCTTTACGTCATCACGCAATTAATCAATAGAGTCAAGTAACGTAATCACTGAATTTCCTCATTAGTAAATCGTAATCACTGAAAAACAAAACAGACCTCTCTGTCAATGAAACATACAAATGAAAACAAATGAGTCTGCAGTGTGTATACCACAGCAAATTACGGCCATTTCAATTGAAGAAAACAGGAGAAAACAGAGAAGGGCACTATAGGGGCCATCTGGATGTAATGTGGACAAAGACATGATCCATGTCAATTACCTGTCTGAGTTTATGTGCAATGGAAATCAATACAACACAAAAAAAAACACAAAAAAAAGCAAAAAAACATGAGGTCACGTTTCCCCCCACACACACTAAAGGTCACGTCTACGACCTTTCCATACTGATAGAAATCTGTGCCGTGCTGCACAAGTTAATGCATGGGACTTGGGAGATATATTTGCATGAACAGCTCACTGTTTGCTCTGCCTGTCACTCAAATTCAATGATGCACTTTAAGAGAAAAAAATAAAGGAATAAATTGGTTCAGCTGAACGGAATTCTTTCAGGGACTATATGCTCTAGACATATTATATTCTGAATACATTGAGAATGTTTTCCAGACTACTGAGGAGGGTGAATGCCCAAATAGTGCAGTTAGAAACATTCCACTCTTTTCAGCAGAAAAAATATTCAAATTTATCATTTATCAGCTGAACAGACGTACAAAAATCCAAGGACAGACTGTTTCAAAGTGTCTAGCATTTGAACACTTTAATTATTATTTTTACACTCCTTGTAGACAGATGTCAGGGCCTTAAAGTGGTGGATTTCCTTTGAAATGTTTTTTTAATTGTGTTATGTTGCGGGTCAATTTGACCCGTTTCGATTTTCAAGTTGTTGGAAATACTGGTTAACTTTTGCTTTTTTTCTTGATATTTTGTGACTTTTTCTCATTTATCATGATGAACATGCATGCAATGTTTCAACATCGTGATGTGTTTTGACATATACAAACAAAATTACTGTTACGTTCGTGATGTTCGCGGGTCAATTTGACCCTCATAGACAGCCATTCAAAAGCAACTGTACAAACACAAAATAAAAACATTTATTTTCTGTATGTAAGGGCACTTCAACTCCAGTTCTAACGTGCAAGTGCATCTAAAAGTGCTCTAACCCAAACCAACACACTTGAAAAAGCTAAAATCACAGTGTTTAGAATTATTTGCAAATTACAGATGAAAATCTTTGTCAGACACAGATAGTAAAATAAGCTCTCATTTCAATATTCAAGTAATCTAAAATACCTAGCTTTCACCCAAAACTTTTATGTAGGATTTTCAAAGGCAGCTTCACAGAGCCAAAAAATAAATAAAAAACATTTATTTGATGAATGATTTTGTTATGTTTGGTTTCTCACTTCCCTGTGAGTGAATAAATGAAACTAGGAAAATAGGTCTTAGGAAACTAGGGAAAGTTAACTTAGGAAAATGAAAAAATTTCATTAAACAGCAATTTTTTTTGTTCAGTTACGATGTTCAAAGCATAAAATGTAAAAAAAAAAAAAAAAAAAAAAAATATATGCAAAAAAATCAGTATACTGTTTATTTTCCAATTTTATCAAAACAAAACTGTTGTAAAAAATGTTTTAAAAACATTTTCATAAATCATATTTTCAGATATAATGTTTTTGTAATGTTTTACAAATGTTGATATTAAAAGTTTACAGTTTGTATCTAAATCTTTCTTGTTTTTCATAGTGTGATTTTTGAGGAATTGTATTGAATCCAATTAGGGTCAATTTGACCCGGTCCATAAAGGGTGTACACAGAATTCGAACAGAACACAAGGGTTAAATAACTGAACTTGAATATGCTAGTGATTTTAATGTAGGTCGTAAATATGTATATTTTCATATATATTCAGTCACGTGACCCTTCAGAAAGCATTCTAATATGATGATTTGATGCTCAAGAAACATTTCTTTCATTGAAAAATTCCTGCTTAATATTTTTTATTTTTTTTTATTTTTTTTATGGCATATTTCTTCAGGATGAATAGAAAGTTTGTAAAAATACATTACAATTGTCACTTTTGATCAACTTAATCTGTCCTTGCTAAATATAAGTATTAATTTCTTTCAACAACAACAAAAAACATGAATGCAAAGGTTACTTATATTAAAAGTTTGTGCCTGATGAGTTCCTGACTGGTCGATGCATTGTGCAGTTTGGTCATTTTTGAAACACCAATTTCAGCGTGCAGACATCCTTTTTCTTTGTTCATTTAGGTGACTTTTATGGTTATTGAGGAGAAACACAACATAAGCTGCCTGACTAGAGAAACATATAGGAACTGTGTCTTTGAGATTAAATTATACATACATTTAAAACAAGATTTAATTAAATTGAAAACAAAGCCGAAGAGATCAGGGGTCAAGCACAAGAACAAGAGGGTGTCAAAGAAAGAAAGCATCCATGGAAGAGAAGAAAATAGCTTTTCAAAGAGAAATGAAATCCAATTAGCGTTAAAATACATACAGTAAATAAAACAGAAAGGCTAAACCACCTGACACTAGTTCAGAGATGAGTCAAAGCAAGGACTGTAGCGACAATATAAAGGGTTCTCGGTAATAGCAGGAATGGAGAGCTCCACTCTTTGATAAAATAATGTGTCCTTGGCAGCCTGAAAAAGAGTTCCCTTCATGTTAGAAATATCCAACATGTGCTAAAGCGCTCAGGAAAACTTCCAAGGTCCCTACACTCGAACGCAAGCCTAGATTGAACAGGTTAATCAAGTATTTCGTGTCTTTGCCACTGACAAAAAATGATCAAATAAAGCTTGTCTTTGCTTTTTTTATACCAAAGTTCATCAGCATGCTGGGATCTCACCTGTAGGACGGGGACGGATGTCCCTGGGCTTCACAGCTGAAGGTGACCTCCCGGCTGGGCTCATTAAGATGGAGAGGGAATACAATACTTCCCGGCTGTTTGGTGAACACTGGCCTCAGAGGACCGCTGCCTTCTAAAGGTGAGGAGGAAAAGATCACAGTTACACGGCTAGTCAATGCTAAGTTTAGCTTAGCGTGCTTTTTAGAGCAAAGCTGTTCTGAAAGGTATCCATCTGTTCATTGGACGAAAGCCTAGCTGTCATTCAATAGGGCAGCATAAATTTGGCGACATCTTAAAAACACTTGAGATTATTGTTGGCAGGACGTTTCGTTCAAGATGCTAACATCGCAAACCCCCAAAAGAGCAAAACATAATGTTAAAATACAGAACTTTGAGCTTAAACGCTGTTGAGGCAGTACATTTCCTTACATACTGTACTGCTTTTCCACCACCTATGTTTAAAATTCATAGTCACAGAAAAAAAAAAAAAAGAGCTTATATACATTTTCAAGAAACACATGGTGAGCCACTAAGCTTTCTAATGCGATTTCCTCATACCAAAGACGCTAACTTGCAGGAAAGTAGCTTAATTGTGTGTATCGTGTAAACACTTAAAAGTCTGGAAATTGTGTGGTTTATTATTCTCCGTAATTACATGTTGATGGTTAGCGCAAACCACTTATCCTGTCTTATTAAGCACAAATGGCCTTCAGCAAGATGAGACATCCACCCAACAATGAGCAGGACGGAGAGTTTTTATGCGAGAGTGAATGCAATTTGCATAATCTAAAACTCATTTTATGCCGATTAACACAACATAGAGTCGAATGCTACTGCATTGTGTCCAAACCTCCACAAAACGTTTCCATGGTTTGTCTAAAAAAAATGTGATAAACTGAATTTTTGAGTATTTAAATGACATCTGCAATGAAACTATTCGTTGTGTCTTGCTGCATCTGCCGTTAGACTTTTGTGACCTTTCAAACATGTTATCCAGAGAAATTAGCTCATTTATTTCATGCTACTAAAATAAACAATGTGAAGTCTAGATTTTCTAATAAAAAGCAATAAACTCATTTATAAATGGTTCTTGGCCTGCTTTGCATGCAGGAGTAAATGACGTGCCGTTTCCTTAAACACACAACTTTTTATGCATTTTATTAATTGACATTAATGATAATTATATCAAGAGCAATAGTCTTCTATTTTTTTTGTCATAAATGCCACGTCAGATGCAGCTTCTGTTCCACATTTGCAGTGTAAAGATGTTTTTTATGGATGTTAATCAAATTTCATATTGGCATAACATTCCTATAGATTGAAGCAATTGGTTAAATGTAAGTATTTGACATGAAAGACAACAGATACATTTAATAATGCAATTATAAAAAAAATGTCTTAAGCAATCAAGCGCACATTTTTGTGTTCCAGTGTAACAACTTCAATAGAGTCTGAGCCAACAGACATGCGTTCACAGCTCACCAACTACTTTCTTAACCTACATTTAGGGGACTGATTTCAAAGGAAACCATCCTCTTGAGAAATCACTTCATGTTAAGCACAAACCGGTTTGTTTATTTACCTTGTGCAGACATCAAGTTCCAGAGGGGTGCAAACTGAATTAATGCATCTGAAAATTCGGAACTAACAGTTTTTTCCACGCTGAAATGCTAAATTGGTCCACCTAGTGTTCAATTAGCATCTCACTAATGCAAGAGAGGTGGAGTTTATTGTGATTCTGGGTGATAATAGAGCACAGAAGAGCTCTCAGTGGAGGTGTTTGAAATCTATTGAATGGGGAATACACTGCACCAAGGCTAATTTCGATCTCACTGTCAACAAGGGCTTTAACTCTTAAATGCAACCGGAAACATGAGAAGATGAAAAGACGTGAGTGAGAGCAAATGATAAAGTGATACTTCACAACCATAATATTTACTCCGATTTCCCATTACCACATGTGCTTTCCACTGTTTAGTTGAGTCATCTTTCCAACAGTCCGACCTCTTCCCATTGGATCCTCTCTTATGATTTTATTTTTATATGAAAATGTGAAGCTTGTTAATGCTTTTACAAATAACTGTGCAGCTAAACAAAACATCTGCAGCACTTACTACATATACTACTAACAAACTACTAACATACATGTGCAGCAATATTCATAACTTATACAATCATAAACTCAACCACATGCTCATGAAAAGGATTGGTGTCATTTACACGTTTTGCCATTGCTGGTGTGGTTTAAATGATTTCTGGACATTCAGAATTTTGTTTAAATTTCGGTTTTGACTTAATGATGAGCAAATACTGCTCATTCTGGGGCTGGTTTAAAGTCCCCCTGTTGTGAAAATCAAGTTTTAATGTTGTTTATATGTTTATATGTCTATGTAATGTTTTTTAATATGCTTTAAGGCGAGACACTACAGGTGAATAGGGTAACAATTTTAACTTACAGATATCACCATAAAACTTAACTTAACTAGTTGATTACTCGCATGAATAGGAGAACAAAAATTATTGCAAGTTTTCTGTAATTTTATGTTTAAATATGCTAATCTAATTAAATATGCGCTAATTTGCATATATTTTGAAGTGACGAATCTGACCATTGAAAACAACAAGGTTCAAAATTATTTTTGCATTTTGTTGATATATGTCAATGAAAAAACATTACCAGAGGGGATTATGAATATCTCTTTTTGTTACCCTGTAAATCAGAAAATACTGCCAATAGCCTTAAACATTTGATTTCCAACCTATTTTTAGGCATACAATGTCATATAAATCAGGCCAAGAAATATATATCAACAAATCCCTCTGGACAAACCTTCAAAATATAGTTAGGAATACGACTGTAAAGTTTGGTGCTACAGAAGTGGAAAATCATCACTAGGAGTGTGAGAAAAAACGGCCTTTAAAGATTTTTATGGCAAAATTCCACTAATTTCTATTGAAAGCCATGAATTACAGACAAAATATGCTTTAGGTCCAAATAAAATGTATCACACTGTTTAACATCCTTAACTCATTATTGCTTCATCCATCACTGATCATAACATTCAAACAACACATCACCAGTCCATCACACAGGTGAATATGTATCTGCCTGAGGGACTCACAACCACTTTAGGATCCCACAATTACAGATTTTTGCATAACTTAATTTTCATGCTCCAAGCATGTGCCATTTCGTGACGTCAAAACTTCCTACCGCCCCCCTCTATTTTTTAAACTAAAATCACACCCATGGGATTAGTAGATATAATGTGTCGCACATGTACCCGCCAAAAACTTTCTTATGTAATCTTATGATGCACATGGACAACAAAATCAATCTGCTGAGATGTTGTCAAAGGCTAAAACACACATTAATTATCAAGTGACTCATCCATGCTAAACAAAGACTGGTCTCATAATCAAGGCTCTGGAACACGTCAATTGGCAGTATTGACACTGCACTAAAGCATCTGTATCTGATCAAGCTGTTCAAAATCAGCATGAGCAATTTTCCATGCATGGAACACCTAAATGAGATATGATACCCAAATCTGGTACCAAAATACATATGTAAATAAAGACAAAGGCAAGAGAGATTTCAAAACTTCAGGTTGAGCTCGGAGCTGATGCAAACCAGAGAAATGCAACAGAGAGCGAATTTCTATCATACAAGGAATTAACCCTCTGGTGTTCTTCGGTCGTTTTCCGACCGGAATTTTTTAAATAAAAAAATGGTTAAAAATCGTAGCTTCATCGGAATGGTACGAAACTTGGTGACTTTTATGGTACTTAGTGTATGAACACACAAAAAAAATTGGGGACATGATTTAGAAAAGTCTAAGTGGTCGTAAAAAAAATAGTCACACTCATGGCCTTCGGTCAAAAATGACCGGCCATAGGATATGAATTGGGAAAATGGCAAAAATATGAAAATACAGAGGTTTTTTTGTGCGTACAATCTACAATTCAGCCACGATGCAGAAAAAAAGCATAACACAGTGAAGGGGTGAATCTCTAAAACATCAAGAGTGCAAAACAGACAAATACACTCACACACACACACACTTATACACACAAAAACACACGCACACACAAATGAACGTGTGTCATTGCAAAAGCTAATTTTGGGAAATGTGTGAAATAAAAGCAATTATTCATCAATGTAAGGATAAAAAGCACACAGATATGAAAGCATGAGACTGTAAGCCATCAAGGTTGCAAAATAGACATGCTCACACACACACACACACACACACACAGACACAGACACACACACATAGGGAAATATGAGACTGGTGAAACTGTAACAGAGAAATGTGAGAATATGTGAAATCAAATCAATGAATCAAATAAAGGGGAGACATTGGGTCCAAAATGCAAAGGTCACACACTATGTCTCTCTCTCTTGAACACACGCACACACACACACAATAGGCAATTCTTCCCTAGTAACCTCCAGGCCTATTGCAGCACATATGTGCTCTTTTGATGTGTTTATTAGAGGTTGAATTCAAATCAAATACTGTCAAAACTACCCATACTACTTCTGAATAGGATGTCTACTTCAAAAATTGTATGAAAATTATGGAAATACATGGTTCAGATCACTCAAAACATATATGAAAATGGAGGCGCCCTTATATGGTCAGTAAGGAAGCTTGGCGTTCCATGCATCTAGTGAAAAAGTTTGGTATGCGCCAAAATAAAATCTTGACTGAAAGCTTATTTTTTGAGATATCAACCTAAAATTTGGAACACAACTTCTTAAGATTTTTGGCTTTCATTTTCTTGCAGTTTTAGAGTAAAATATATTTTATAATATATATATTTTATATAAAATATAAATAATAAAAATTTTACATTGTTCATTTTTATTAACTCAAACTTTCATAACTTTTTTTCTGTTTCACTTTCATAATTTCTTTCACTTCTACAATAATCTGGCAAATGTCTTCTTTAAAACAAGACCAACCATAGGTCTATATTCCAAAGCATTCTTGAATTACAACCATTTAAGTTTGGATAGTGATTTTCATGTCT